CCTTAACTACAATTTTTGCTTCAAAATACCTGCTTTGGTTATAAACTATGATCAGTAAGTTAGATCAGATCATCTCCCATACTGCTGTGAAAACCGTTTTGCATTTTTCTTGCGGATGATCAACAATTATTCAAATGAGATGTTGTATTCACATTTCTAGGTATTTGCTTTCAATAATGGTCTGGAATCTTAGCTCACTTTACTTTCTTTCTAATTTTTCTTTTTATTCTCTATTAAAGTCTTTCAGTAACTGGTTATTATGGAAAGCTTCTCTAGTGAAGTTGGCGGAAGCTGAAAGTCGATTATTTGCAACATTTGGTGCTCAAATCCTCTCACGATTTGTTCCAGTAGGTATTGTTATAGTTTCGCTGAATATGTTGCAGAGTAGGATCATCCTCTTAAGATTCGCTTCAAAGGAAGTGAAATCTACACAGTCACCACTGGACCAACAGAGGAGAAAAAGTCGGATGAACCAATTGTACTTATTCACGGATTCGGAGCTGGTGTTGCCGTTTGGTCTGCGAATATCGCCGCACTCGCTAAACACTACACTGTTCATGCTTTTGATCTTCTTGGTGAGCAGAGTTCGAAATCAGTTCAGTAATCTGTAGTCAGAGTGTAGAAACAATGTGTATTTTAGCTTTCTGCTTTAAACTTTGAAATTCTTAGAGGTCCACTTTACCCATTTTTCAGGTTTTGGACGCTCATCTCGACCTCGATTTAGTGATGATCCGACACTGGCAGAATTGGAAATGGTCGAGTCCATAGAAGACTGGAGAAAATCGATGGGCATCGAAAAGATGTACTTAGTAGCGCATTCATTTGGTGAGACTGAAATGTTGTGATACAGATGTTGTTGAAGTTGTTTCAACTATCCCAAATTTCAGGAGCTTATCTGGCTTCGTCATATGCATTAGAACACCCACACCGTGTCAAGCATCTTGTTCTAGTTGATCCTTGGGGTTTTCCAGAGAAGATCACACCTACCGAAAAGCAGGTATGCTATTGGAATTCAATCTTGTTGCTTGAAATGCCGTTTTCCAGATAAAACCATACCCTTGGATGATGTTTATTGGTGGATTGTTATCACAATTCAATCCCCTTGCTACTCTACGCGCTGCTGGACCATACGGTAGGGTTTTTTTTTTTTACTATCTCGTCTTTTGTATCGAATCTACAAACTTCCCTTCAGGGCCATCTATCGTGAAGAAACTTCGTCCGGATTTGGGCCTTCGCTATAAAAGCGAAAACCCAGATGACATTTACGAGTATTTGTATCACTGCAATGCTCAAAAACCTACGGGAGAGACTGCTTTCAAAGGAATGACCATTCCATTTGGTTGGGCGAAACGTCCAATGATAAAAAGGTCAGAACATGAGCTAAATTTGTACGTATCAGTATATAATTACATGGAAAATGTTACTTTGGAATCACGTTGAGCTATAGTAGAACGTTCGCTATTTCAAGTTTATGCGGGTCGATTTGGACAGGGCTATCCTTCGGAGAGGTTCGCACTTTTTGTGTGTTAAAAATTTAAATTGCTTGAATCACAACGTTAGCAATTTCTCTTAATTCAACTTACGAACATGCGCTTTTCTACAAAAGGATTGAAAGCTTGATCTTACCTTTTTCGCCATCATCAAGAAAAATGGCACAGAGGCCATTTGACCCTACCGCTGTGCCTCCCCACAGCAACGCGAAATGCACCCAACTTACTACTGAGAGGTCTGGTATTTGGCAGACCAGCCAACGACCTAATAGCAAC